GGGGGGGGGGGGGGGGGGGGTACTCATAGTCGTGCATGCCGTAGTCGTTAGACCATTGACCTCGCATCCCTACAAAGCCGGGACGGAGCACGCCGGGTTCTCAACCGGACCAGGCTCTCACATCACCAAGCGCGAAGCACCGTGAGGTATTCGGCGAGTCGCATGAAGGGTGCGCTGCATCCTGCTAAGGGTGTTCGGCATCTTGTGCTTACTTCCTTGCGTACGGATGACAGCTGCGTATGACTTAATTTATTTTCTGGTGCTTTCACTTCCAGAGACAGTTGTAAGCACTGTGTAACTGCCTCGAGGGTGCTTGACCAATTTTAACACAACGTGGTGCGATTATTCCCCTTGCGCGGAGTGAGGATTCTCGGCCCTGCACAACAAAATCTACTCGACCACCATTCATGGCTACCGTAAAAAACAAAAAAGGTAAAAAAAAAACGGTACCCTGGTTGCCGAGCTCACAAAGTGGTCGGCTTGTTTACAACATCGCTGCCAAGCGACGAAAACCCAACCCCGATGGCAAACCCCGGGGGGGGGCGGGGGGGGTATTGGGGTTGAGGGCGGGAGGGACACCGTTTCGTGACCAAGGATGAGCATACATACGGATATATCGGATTTATACCAAACCAACAAGAGAGGATGCAAATATTAAGCTTCGGCATTAGCTCCCCCCCCCCACACCATTACCGATAGTCAACGAGTTCATGAAGTTTGGGGGGAAGGGGATGATCCAGCTGATGGTACTGCTGTACAATTGGGTGTGGGAAAACGAGTATGCGCCAAGTAAACGGAGGGAAGGAGTGGTTGTGAACTTGTTTAAGAAAGGAGACAAGACTGGCCCAGGAAACTACAGGGGGATCACACTGTTGAACACAGTAGGAAAAGTGTTCTATAAGCTGCTGAACGATAAGGTAGTGGGAGTATTGGAGAAGGAACATAGCATTAGTGAGGGCCAGGCAGGTTTCCGAAAAAAGAGGGGGTGCGTAGACCACGCATTCACGGTAGGGAGAATCATCCAAGGTAGAAAGAGGGCGGGAAAGCCGACGTACTGCTTCTTCCTGGACGTGAAAAAGGCATACGATCCCGTATAGAGAAATGAGCTGTGGAAAAAATTGTCCTAGTACGGGATCATGGGGAAAATGTGGAGAGTGCTGAAGAAGATGACAGAGTGTACGAAAAACGCGGTCATGCTAGACGGAGAACTGTCTAAATTCTTCGACATTGAACAGGGGGTCCCACAAGGTTGCACGCTGTCCCCAATAGGTGTTCATCAACGATCTGTTGGAAGTCGTAGAGGCAGTCCGGAAGGGAGTAAAAGTAGCGGACACGGAAACTTCGGTGTCAGGAATGCTGTTTGCGGATGGTTTTGCTGGTATGTCGGACACCCCTGAGGGACTGCAACTGCAAATTGACGCGGCGAAGAAGTTTACTGATAAGTGGAGATTGTCTGCCAACGTTGAGAAGATTACCGTCGTGGTATGCAACGAGGACAGGGAGGAACCAGTAGAACATAGATGGAAGTGGGGGGTCGAGTAGATTGCAGTAGTGGACCAGTACACATACCTCGGAGTAGAGATCGCAAAAGACTGCTCGCGGAATGCACACATGTCCAAGGTAGCGGAAAAGGGCAAAGCACGAGCGGGGAAGCTGCACCCAATACTCGCAAACCGGCACCTCGATACACGCATCAAATTGGCGGTTTTGAAGAGCGTAATCGTACCGCCGCTAGAGTACGCCGGAGAAGTATGGGAAGGAAATAAGCACGTAGTGACAGAACTCGAGGCGGCGCGGATGAAAGCAGCAAAAATCATCCTAGGATGCTCCAAGCGCACAAGTAATGCAGCCGTCAGGGCAGAATTGGGGATCCAATCCCTACGGTCGGGAAGAGACGCAAGGAAGCTGACATGGCAGTATCGAATGTGCGGGATGGGAGATGAGAGGTTGCCGAGAATAGTATGGGAGGCGAAGTGGGCAAACAAAAAGAGGGGTAGACAACCCACGGAATGGGTCAAGGTTGTAGAGGACGTATGGAAGGGGTTAGACATCGACGAAGATGAAACGCTGGAAACGGAGGGTCTAAAGGCGTTCAAGGAGAACATATCTGTTGCTTGTGCCGAGAGAGAAGAACAGAATCTAAGGAAAGAAACCGAGGATAAGGAGGGTCTAGAAGTGTACGGAATGTTGGAAAGAAGGAATAGGGTTCAAGGATTACCTACATGGACCAATGGATGCAGGGACAAAGCTTAACGTCACATTCACGACCGGGGACACGGGCCTTCGAGAACGTCGACGAAGACATAGGACGGTAGACGACGAAGACGACAAGTTCAAATGTGATTGCGGCTTCGAATGCGAAGACCGTGTTCATGTAGTCGTGGAATGTCAGTTGTACGAGAAGGAGGGGGAAGCGTACACGACCGAGCTGGGAAAAATACAAGGGAGGTACAGGGAGATGTTTGAGGCATGGAATAGAGAGGAGAGGACGGTAGCTGTACTGGGGAGTAGGAAGTGGTTTGAAGAGACGGGAAGGGATATCGTTAGGATAGACAGACTAGGGACGACATTTTTGAGCCACTTTTGGCGAAGTAGGGAGGAACGATTGGCCATCGGTGATCGGTCCTGTGGGAACAATGCTCTGTCCTCTCGAGGACGCGTGGTCAATGGTCTAACCGCTAAGGCATGCAAAACATAAGAGTACCCCCCCCCCCCCCCCCCCACTACCCCTAACCCTGGGAGAGACATGAAATATGCAGGGAACACCCAATCCCCGATAACCCCCGTTCCAACATCGCCACGCGCACCTCTCCAGTCATCGCCACGGCCGTATCGATCGCCCGCCCAAGCAGCAGCGACAGGAGCGCGCTCGTGATCGCCACCCCAGCCGAAGGGCCGTCCTTGGAGACGCCCCCCGCCGGCACGTGCAGGTGCAGGTCCGTGCTGCTGAAGAATCCTGGAGGGAACAACACGCCGCGGCCGCCGCCGTCTTCATGTCCCGACAACGGCGACCGTGTCCGGCCGGTGGAACCACCTTCACTGCCGCCGCCGCCGCCGCCGCCACCCCGCCCAGTAGCTGTCACTGCTGCTGTCGCGTGGACGGTGCCGCCGGTTAGGCCCAACCGGTCGCAGATCTCGCGCTCGTGGCTGCGGATCCAGCTGAGCGCGATCTGGGCCGACTCTTGCATTACCTAGCGGGGAGGGAGCGAGAGCATAGGAAGGAGGGGGAATTTCCGTTCGGTTTGGTGTGTGTGAGAGAACTGCACTAAAATACTGAGCAGAATGGACTCGTTAAGGCTGTCCCGGCGTCGCAACTCTGCCATCCTCGTGTCCCGCATCAAAAACCGTTTCGAAGCCAAACGTCGTTGGTGCATCAGCTCCGCCGCCGTTCTAAGACCCACCGCATCGGCAGCGTGACACGCGACCAATCCAGCACGAGCAGCCACCCTACACTTGGTTGAGCACCTCAAGATAGCCAAACAAAAAAAGAAGACGAGAATTAAGCCAAGAGCTCGATAAGCCTCAGTCACGCCACCGACACCCCCCCTCCCGCCGGCAGAATCGGTTCCCCCGCTCCCGACAGCCAGCCAGCCTCCCGCTGTGCCCACCTCCCCGAGCTTCCCGGTGAGCTTGACGGCCCCGGTCCCCGGCATGCTGGTGCACTCGATGAACAGCAGCTCCCCGCCGGTTGGCGTCCAGGCCAGCCCCGTGCACGTCCCGGGCGTGGCGACCCTGGCCGCCACCTCACTCTCGTACAGCTCTGGCCCCAGCACCCCCCTCAGCATCTCACAGGTCACCACTATTCGTGGAAAGGCCAGCGGCCGCCGCTGCTGCTGCTGTTGCTGCTGTGGTGATAATGTTCGGTCGTGACCGTTACCGTCGCTGCCGTCAACGGCGGCACAGATTGCGGCGACCACCTCACCACGAGCGCTTTCTCTCTCTTCCTCCAGCCCTCCATCGGTGCCGCCCGCCGTCACCCCGGCTATCTCCCCCCTCCCCCGTCCTCTCCCTTCCGGAAGCCAACCCTTGTGCCGGACTCCCGCTGGCCCGTCACTCGCGAGCGCAGCGGGGGGCGCTCGAGCATACCCGTCAACCGCACCCGCCGCAGCGTCGGCCCGCTGCCCGGCTAGCCCCGATCTGTTGCTCACGACCCCATCGCAGATGCTGCCGCCGCGAACGAGGAAGGAGCCGTCCATGGGGGCGGAGCCTCTACTTCGCATTAGGTGGGCGGGAGACGCGGAGAAGGTCGAGGAAGAGGAGGATGATGAGGAAGAGGGCTTGGCTTCGGGGGCAGAGGTCTGCCCGTTTGACGCATCTCTCAAGCTTGTTCCCCCCGGCTTATTGTCTTCGTTGTTGCTTCCGGGGTCTTGCTGCCAGACACCCACCTGGGGGGAGAAATAGGGGTGAGGGGGGCACGTGCGAGCGTAGGCAAGAGGAAGCACAGAATGCAACCATCGCGCTGTGTACCGAGGCCTCATTGCACTGGTGATATATTCACTCAATCATCTGTTCCTAAACCACAAGCAACCGTCCGCATCGCCCTTGCCATGCCCCGAAAAAAACCCGTGGCGAAAGTGTATAGCATCCAAAACGCCAACCCCTTCCCGCAGCCTGCCGGTGTGTAGGTAGGGCTTTTCGCATACAGATAAAGAGACGCACAGCTGCTAGTCGCCTAACCCCCCCGACCCTCACCTATTCTAGCCTCTCCCCACGCACGCGCAATCCCCTACACGGAAGCGGAAATTGCCGCCCAAGTTGCCAACCTTTACCACACATGCCAGAAACACCAGGGAAGGGCAGAAGGCTGACTAAAATAGGGAGAAACGCTCTCAAAGATATAAAGGAGCATCATGCCCCTCCCGCCCACCTTTAGCGCGACGTGGCGACACACGGCGGCCAGCTCGCGCTCCAGCTGCCTCACGCCCGCCTCCCTCGTGTAGGAGGACGCCACCCTCAGCACCGTGCTCCGGGGGAGCAGCATGTGCTCGGCGCCCACGCCGTTCTTCTTCATCTGCTTGGGGATCAGGTACGCCTCCGCGATCTTGACTTTCTCCTCGAGGGTGTAGCCAGGGATGTGGATCACCTTACACACAGAGGGGGACAATGTGTGTGTGTGTGGGGGGGGGGGGGGGGGG